GGAGGAGGAGGAGGAGGAGAAGGCTGATCAGTAAACCGGCCATCCTACTCATTTGCACACTCAGATTCGTCTGGCCTCATCCTTAAGTGTTCCCTGGTGGCTCTGCAATAGTTTCTGCTGATGTCGATGCATCTTCACCCCTTTTTGAAATTTCAAAGCAGCTGGAGGGACTTTGGACCCCTCTGTCCTCTCTTGGGCCTGTGGTTTCCCCTCTGAAACACAGAATGATTCCATCCCCATCCCCTAGAAGGGCTCTGATCACCGCATGGGCAGCCCGAAAGGGGCAGCAAAGCCTGCGCACTGCCTCCTGGGATGCGCAGCTTTGCCTGCACACGCCCAGGCTGTCAGCACACCTCCTAGCTTGGAGTCTCCATGGCTGTAGACAGACCCTCTTTCTCCAGGGGAACAAATGATGTGAGTTCAATTCTTCCACCCCATGGTGCCTACCCCCAGACCCCTGATAGCCAAGGGGAGAGGAAGGCCAGGTAGCTGGCCCTTGTCCTCTGGGTGAGGCTGTCTCTGCTGTCTACCTGCTATGCTTCCACAGCTTAAGGGACAGGGACAGCAGATGTAGGAGTTGAGGGGAACACCTACTGTGTGCCAGGCCTGGAGCTCTCAGGGAGACACACACAGACTGGGAAGAGCAGGAAGCTGAGGCTTAGGCAGAAAGGGCATCACACATCACACACTCACATGACCAGCATGAACAGAGATGTGCCCACCCCCTGCCCCAAGTACCATCAACCACCAGGTCTCACTGAGCCCCTACTTCCTGCCCAGCACTGCCCAGGCTCCCTGGGAGCAAAAATGGTATCAGCCGGGATCCTTGCCTTGACAGAGCATGCAGCCTGGATGGAGAGAGAGGGCATAAGTGGGACAAGTAAAGCAGCAACATAAAACCGGATTTCAGCCTGTGAGACTAAATGCCCGGGTGCCAGCTGCACATTGCGGGGTCCTGGGCTCAGAGTGGAGGGGCCAGTCCCCACAGACTACAGGCCCTCTTCTCTGTTCTCAGTGTGAGAGAGGGGCCCTTGCCAAGGTGCTGAGGAGCCCCCACTGCCCGTGTGTGAGGGGGGCCAGGAGCGCCCCAAGAGCCCGGTCTCCTAAAATCCCAGAAGTTCTGTTACTGCAGTCGATCTATCCTAGGTGATAGAGAAAGAAAGAAGGGGATGAAGGCACAGTCTAGAAGAAGAGGGCTTGGTTCCCTGGGAAGCATCCTTTCTTTGGCCTGTGGGTCCCTGCATCCTATTAATTGGGGCACATTATAATAGTATCTGCTCACCCACTCTTGCATAGGTGTTTATGAGGGTCAGATGTGGCAACTGTACAATTGAGAGTGATGTGCTCTGGGGTAGGGTCAGTGGCAATGGCAGGAAGAGACCCCTGAAACTGCGTGTCTGCCTCCATGAACCTGCTTAATAGCCATTGCCTCCTGTCCCAGCTAATGACCATCTCCTTTACCAATGCCACATCCCTTGCCCCACCAGCCAGGAGGAGAGGAAAACTGGGGCCTCCGAGGCCTCTCCCAGGGCCCTGAGCATACAGCTCGGGGTGGCTGTGGTTGGAGGTAGGGGAGCCCCAGCCCCCTGGTTCCTGTCTGGGCTCTGGTCCTGCCCCCAAGTCCTCCATCCTCTGCAGGAGAGACCTCCTGAGGGTTCTGCGAGTGTGTCTGTGCTGGGGTAGTGCCATTTACCAGGAGGGACGAGCCTATTATCTTTACACCAGGGGAACTAATAGCCCATTTCCTGGGAAATCTGTGAGTGATAAAAACAGGTGGGCCGTTTTATTCCTTTTGTCGAGAGAAGCTGGCATGAGGGATGCGGAAGCCTTCGTTTTCTCTCCAGTTAGTGGGAGAGTCAGGGCTGGCTGAGAGCAGCCACCTCCACTGCTTGTCCACAGTGCTGCAGGGGAGGATGACTCCAACCCAAAATGGGAGGAAAGAGAGTTGTCCTGCCCTTCCATGCCCGTGACTGCCCCGAACTACTGACTCCATCCTTCCCAAGGGGCCCCTGCTCCCGTCCCTTCCCACAAAGGCTGAGCCCAGGAGAGGATGCCCCACCACTTGGAAATTAACAAGAACTCGCTTCCCTTTGTTACCGCTCCCAGGGATATTTTACGCAATGCCGTGTTTCTTATCGTGGGGTGACAGGCTTTGTCCCCTAATGGGTGAACTGACATGTAGCAGGGACTATTGGGAGACTGGGAACAGAGCAATCCCTCATACTCCAGCGATGGGTTAGAATCCTATTCTGTCTGAAGAGCTCTAGCTCCTGGGCTGCCTGCTGCAGAGATCCTCCCCTGACCCAGTTTCACCTTATTTCAAAGGTGAATTTAAATCTGTGCCAGCAAACCAGCTGAAGGCTGCCTGTTCTCTCCTCTGCTGTCACCCCTGAGGGGTGGTAGGAATGGGGAAGGCGCTCTTTTTTAACTGCAGCCTTGGGCATGTAGTTTGTACTTAGCACCTCTCTCCTACCATGAAAGGACACAGAGGTCCCTACAGGTAACTACTTTGCTCAGGCAGGAGGCATCTCAGGACAGCCACTGCATCCAGGTTTCCAAATTTGTGTTCTTATCCACAGTGAAACCTGGCTGCTCCTCCTAACTCCTTTGTGTATCACTGTAGGCTAACACCCTCGGTCCACTGGCCTCTGGCGAAGCAGTCTCTGATGGAAACAGGCCCGGCACCCTGGTTCATGTGTTATTTCATAAGTCCTATATTCTTCAATGAATACAGATTGATGATGGTCCTACTATGTGCCAGGCTTTGTGCTAGGGACTTAGGTTGGTAGACAAGGAGCCCTGTCTCCCTGAGAACGTGGTTTAGAGAGAAGCACGCCCCCTGCTGTCCCTTGCTGCATGGTACAGTGGAGGGGCTGGGAGAGGTCCTGCCACAGTCTGGGCTTGAGATGTGGGGTTGTGCTGGCAGCTTGAGGCATGGTTTTTGCCCATAGCTCTGAAAGATGGGGTAGGGAATGGTCTGTCAGAGTGAAAATTCTTGCAGATGTTGGAGAAGGAGGGACCTTATAGTGTTCCAGGGGCTCAGAGACTCTAGATGCCTGATGTTACAGTTAGAATCAAGTCAGATCCTGCCCACATTCAGCGGGAGAGGATCTCTCAAAGGCCCAGACCCCAGTGAAGGATGGGAAAGAGGGGCAGCTGAAGGAAATCTGAGGGACTTTTCCTGACACCTAGGGGTCCACATGTCACATCTGGAGAGCTGTCACTTGACTCAGCACACCCAGCTTCTGATCTGGCTGAGTGCCTCTTGACACCCAGAGTCACATGAAGTACCCAAGGTGCACACCCACACACACACAGACATCCTCCCAACTCCTCACACCCATAGGTTTGGGTCCATAGTGGCAGAGCCAGGTTTGCAGAAATACGGAGCTTATAGGCTCTGTGCCACATGCAGTATCTGGGTCCAGACCTGGCTTTTTGGGGTTCAGGCTGCTGGAGCCCAGCTGACACAGCCCAGCCCAGGCAGCCCAGCCAGAAGATCCCACATGGTAAATGCAAGGACAGAAAGGGAAGGCTTTGCAGAGCCAAGCCCAGGGACTGCTAGGGCGGCAGGAAGAGGTGGCCTGGACCAACTTAGCTATGTTCAAGTGATGCCTCAGGCAGTTAGGACAGGGGTGCTCAAAGGACACCTGGAGGGACATGGAGATGGATGTGCACACATTTGTGTATTGGGTGGCGGCTGGGCTTTGCAAGGGTGCTGCACACTTACGTCAGTGCCAACTCACGTTATGTCTGAGGACAGAGACTCCCTTTTCCGTGTGAACTCTCCAAGGTGGCAAGCTTGCTCCCCATCTCGGCCCCAGCCTGGATCACTCTCTCTGGGCTGTGAGCCGGGTCTGGGTGGCTGCCAGTCTGTGGCAGGGCAGTGGCCGGAGGGCAGCCTGCGCTGCGTTCACGTCCTGCTGCTGAGCCAGCTGTTGTTCGTGCAGACGGCTGAGGCAAGAAAACTGCCCAGGTCCCAGGCTCCCTGGAGCAGATGATGTGCCCACCAGTCGCCTCGCCCAATCTTCCCCTCTTGGGTCACCTCTCTCCTCTCCCGTCCTTTCTGCTTTTCTTCCTGTACCTTTTCTCTGCCCATTCTCTCCGGTTCTCTCTGACCACGTTTGGGGCGGATTTGGCTGCATTGTGCGGACATCTGGGTACTTCCTTTCAGCTCTTTCTCTCTCTAGTTTTATATCTCTTTCCACTCACCCCCACCCACCTTCTCTTTCCTCCCATCCCCTTCACTCGTAGTTGCCCTTCTGTTAAACCCTCCTAGCTCTTCTCCCTGTCCTCGCAGTGTCCTCTTTCTTATTTGCCGACTCATCCAGTAGGCAGGTGTGAACAAGGA